TGCATCAATCATCATCAAACTTGGTCAGGATACTTGTCTAGGTGATAGCTCAGATGAGTTCGAACATGGGTCATAACTTTGTCATTTATCAAAGGAATTTTGAAATAACTTGGCACAAATGTTTGTTATAATAAGACGATTTGTCATGCGCAACAACCAGACCCCTACCTCCAGGGTCAAGGTCGCACTTGCTCATTCAAGGTCAACATTGTCTATTTGAGGGTATATATCGTGTCCGGTCCATAACTTTCTTATCTATGAAGTAATTTTGTAAATACTTGCCATAATTGTTCACAATAATCAGATGATGTGTCATGCGCAAAATATGGTCACCTACCTCCAAGGTCAAGGTCACACTTGATGGTCAAATACTTACATAGTCTGTTACAGGGTATATTTTGTGTCCGTTCAATAACTTTTTCATAGATCAAAGGATTTTGAAAATACTTCGCACAAATAGTCACTATAATAAGAGGATGTGTCATGCGCAACACCTGTATCCTTACCTCCAAGGTCAAGGTCACACTTAGAGGTCAAAAGTTAACATAGTCTGTTATAGGGTATATTTGTGTCGGATCTAGAACTTCTTCATAGTTCAAGGGATTTTGAAATAACTTGGCACAAATAGTCACACCTGCACCCTTACCTGATGATGATTTAGCTTTATCAGCTGACACTGTAGTAGGGCTACAAAGGCTACTAGATACGTTAAAGAATTTCTGTGACGATATGAGTGTGCAGGTCAATAAAGATAAGACTAAAATCATGGTTTTTAAACATGGCGGATGCCTATCACGTCATGAAAAATGGAATTTTGATGGTACCCCAATTGAAGTTGTTAAAAGTTTTTCTTATGTAGGAATCTAACCTTTCTTTTTCAAGATGGCAAGTGAACAAGCAACGAAAGGCAAACGTGTACTCATTCACACATTATCGAAACTATATAACTATGGTCAGTTACCTAGACGTGTTTTCTTAAACATTTTTGACACTAAAATAAGCCCAATTTTATTGTATGGTTCAGAAATTTGGGGCGTTCACCGCCAAACCTCAATAGAACTGATACATAACTATGCATGTAAACGATACATGTGTGTAAACAAAAACACTATAAATGCAGCTGTCCTTGGTGACTGCGGGAGACATCCTTTATATATTACAGCTGCAAAGCGAGTTATTCGATACTGGTGCAAAATTGTGAAACTACCTGACAGTAGATTAGTAAAGAAATGTTATAATATGCTATTGTATCTATCAAATAATGGAAAGCAAAACTGGGTTACAGATGTTAAAACATTATTATATTCAAATGGTATGGGTTTTGTTTGGGACAATCAATATGTGCAAAATGAGCAGCTATTCTTAAATCGGTTTGTAACTAGATTAAGAGATGAATATTTACAAAATTGGCATTCTCTTATAAACGATTCTCATAAACTTGTTCTTTATGCCATGTACAAACAAAACTTTTCCCATGAACAGTATCTTGATGTATTAGATATACGTAAATTCCGTAGCATAATGTCACGATTTCGTACGTCTGCACTTGACCTTGAAATTGAACGTGGTCGATACAATGGAGTAGAGAAGCATTTAAGAATATGTAAATTATGTCAAGTTGAGGTAGAAGATGAGTACCATTTCTTATTAAAATGTTCTAGACTTTCAAACATTCGAACACAATTTATTCCTAGAAAGTTTTATGACAAACAATGTATTCAATCATTTGTTATTCTGATGAGTAGCAGAAACCACTCATTAATTAAAAATGTTGCTATGTATATTTATTATGCTCAATTAGAAAGAAAACGTATACTTGAACAACTTTAGATATATTCTCTGTATAAGAAAGTATTGATATCACTATATATGCTCTTGTATCACAGAAAGCATTGTATTATATGTATTTATGTCATTTGTTGAACTTGGGCCGCTGGCCATATGTCAATAAACTTTTTGTCATTTTCATTGTCATAGTCACAATAATAAGACGATATGTCAAGTACAACACCTGCACCCTTACCTCCAAGGTCAAGGTCATTAGAGGTCAAAGGTTAACAGAGTCTGTTATTTGGTATATTTTGTGTCCCGTCCATTACTTCTTCATAGATTAAGGGATTTTGAAAATACTTGGCACAAATAGTCACAATGATTAGATGATATGTCATGCGTAACATCTTCGCCCTACCTCCAAGGTCAAGGTCACACTTAGAGGTCAAAGATTTACATAGTCTGTTATAGGGTATATTTTGTGTCCAATCTATAACTTCTTCATAGTTCAAGGGATTTTGAAAATACTTGGCGCAAATAGTCTCAATAATAAGACGTAATGTCATGCACAACACCTGCTCCCCCACCTCCAAGGTCAAGGTCACATTTAGAGGTCAAAGATTAACATGATAGATTTTTAAATTCCGTGTGTCATTTTATTTTTTTAACAAATTTATTGTTGCATTTGCAGATCTAGCATTGATCATAATTTTGGACTGAATGTCCTGAGATCCATACATCAATCTTTTGAAATAGCACAATTTCATGCTTCATATAAAACTTCCCGAGGCGGGGGACGTTGGTAACTGTTACAAATTCTTGTTTAAAGTAGAATCTGTTCCTTCATTCGATCGCACATGATCAGACCCTTAACAAAAACCGGAAAATATTAGTTCTTTGATATTGTATGGAATTCACAATCTTGCGATTGGGGTCGCCAAGTCGACCGCATTTTCAGCTTCAGGCGAATCATAATACGATTTTACGGGACCACCTTGATTACGGGAAACCCCACAAGAATTACACTTCATCCGGCATCCAGAACGAAATAATTTTTATGTGGTGACAAGAATTGTTGAGGCGTGCAACGACGCTCCATAGCGAAACCATGGATGCGGCGACGAATCAAATGGCTATTGTTCTTGGGTACATATAAACATTTTTTTTTTAGTTCCACTGTTATGTGTTGTTTTTAAGCATGTTCATTTGTATATCTCTTCACGTTTAACACATTTAATAATTCATTTAAGTAAATATACTTTGAACATGGTCAACGTCATTATAATAATACATACAAAATAACATAATTGAGCAGCGTCATGAATGGGTTTGCGACCAGCATGAATCCAGACCAACCTGCACATCCGCGCAGTCTGATCACGATCCATGCTGTTCGCTTACAAACCCTAAAACAATAGCGAACAGCATGGATCCTGATCAGACTGCGCGGATGCGCAGGCTGGTCTGGATCCATGCTGGTCGCAAACCCATTATGTTGGTTTTGTCATGACGCGGCTCATATCATGATTAAATCACATGACGTCGCTTGTTTTCCATGTGCAGTAACATTATAACCACGTATAACGTATTTTATCACGCAACCAAGTTATAGGCGTTATACAAAGAAAGCGAAAAAATGCGCAAAATGTTAAAGCTACAAGTGCGTCAATGAAAAAAAGTTTTTACTGTTATTTAGGTACATATGTTCGTGTGGAATCATTATTAATTTTAATTGGACTCGTTGAATAAGATAATATTGTGCTCGCTATATAACTTTATTGAACTTTACACTATATTTGATTACACATATTTGAATGCGATATGTTTTGTGGAAAAAAAGACATTTGTTGTCATGACGTAAAACAACTTAAACTCTTAATAAGTTCGCTTTAAAATATTCTTTATCTCGTTTTACATCATATAACAACCCATATGAGCTTCTACACGTGTATATCATCTATTAACTGTGATAAAACCATAATTTTCTGAAATATCTACTCGTTTTTTTATTGTGTCGGCCTTTTGTATAGATCTCGACATCTCTATTATCAATTAAAAAAATAATTTACTGCTTATACACAGTGGAGCCAAAAATGTGTAGATGATGTATGCATGCCTTTTATGATTGAATATGCTATATATATATCCGACTGAGAAATGAGAAAATTACAATATTTTAACGAATGCAAACCACACTTCCCAATGTGATATATAGCATATTCGCTCAAAACAAATAAGTTTTCTTAATAGTGCCTAATAAGTAAATAAAGCCACGTTCGACTGTTTTCATTGAAGCCTGAGAAACAGAAACACATGAGACTTTCGACTGTGAACAATAACTTACGCTGACATTTATACTGTTATACAAAAGGATTTATTGTATGATTAGGAAACTTTTATACGCGAGTGTGGATGCTAGAGGACACGATGCAAAACTTTTATGTTACAATATAGAATCAATTCTGCATGATATACCGACAGAACTTTATCCACATCTAAACAGGTGCCTGCATTTGCTTCTACTTATTGTAGCGCTGGACGTTCATTCAGCAGCGTGAGAAGGCTAAATACTTTCTTGCGCGCATCAATGACCGCTGGCCACCTCTCCGGTTTAGGCTTTTGACAGGTTGGTCCAGACTGTCGTTGTAAATACATTTGCATGACGAAAAATCGCCATTTGACACTTTCATTTGCCGACAGCATCATTTGTTTGACTAAAAACCTTGAAATATTGTTATACAATCTATAAATTATATTTAAGTTATGTTCTGTTCTAATTATATTTACGATGTTCACCAAATCGCATGTCATACTACTGCATAAAAATTATTTATCCTACTAATTTAAATTTCTTATTTTATTGACCTCAAATTGACATGGAAATGCTTAATTTAAGTAACCCTAAATGGTGAAAACCGAGGAGCTTCCGGGGGCTTCGCTCCCTAGCTGGACCCATGGACCTGCAAGGGGGCCTATAGCGGCCCCCTTAACCCCCAGCGTGAGTGTGCGTAATATAATGTTTGGCCTAGCTACGTCCCTGTCTTTGTTATAAATTTCTAACTAATCAGTTTCCATTGTTTTTAAGTTAAAGGGGTTAGGTCTAGTTTCGATTCTGACCACACTAGATACGCCTGTGCAACTTTCAAGTTTCGTTTTCAATTCTTTGGAAATCTTTTTTTTTTTCAAAATAAACTAACGTAGATTCTAGTTATTTTGAAAATAGATAATTTTAGACCGCAAATTTATTACTTAAAGGGACTTCACTGAGGTTTTTTGACATGACGGGACTGGAAATAATTTTTTGAGATTATTATTCCATTTGATGTAGATGTGCAAAATTCATTATCATTAAATTCAGATTATTATAGCTCGCGCCGTTTTTCCAGAATAATTATTATAATAGTGAAAAATGACCCAAAATTGAAAAGCGTTTAAACGCTTTTCACTCAAATCGGACTGAGAATAGCACAAACATATGACTTTCAATTTATTCCTTGTGTACTTCTTAGCACAGGAACTTGAAATTCTATCAAATAACCAATATTAATGATAATATCCAAATATACCCCCTATATACTATAAATAATAGTGGGGTATATTTTACATATTATCGTTAATATTGATAGAATTTCAAGTTCCTGTGTTCAAAGAGAAACGATCAATTTGTAGAGCTGCTCGTTTAGTTTTGGAAGAATGGCAATGACTGGGCTGCATCAAAGGTAATTATAATATTTTAGCATTCTTTTGTTGGCTAAAGTAAGTAGCTATGTGAAAAGAAAAAACAGAGAATATAAAAGATGAAAAAAAAAAAAAAAAAAACATTTAACATTGACCGCAAAACCCTATATAATGAGAGATAAAAAGTTGTAAACAGAGATCAACGATTATTATCTTTTCTTTACGACATAAAAATCGATTTACGGTAACAAGTGTCGTGATAAACCCATTACTTCCGCGTTTGTGTTTACAGCATATTTGGCTTGAAATGGTGTAAGTTGATTTTTAATCTATTTTGTTATAACATATTCAATTTGACATCGTTTAATAAGTGTCGAAAATAGAAAGTTTAACACACAGCCAAATTCATTTACTGCACTTTTCTTTTCTTTTTATTAAAATCTATTTTATATAGAAATTATAAGGGCCAAAGTAAGAGGGGTATATATCCAGAGATAGATAGATAGGTTATGCCGCTTTGTCAGCCATAGTGGGTCCAAAGTGGAAGTAGGCCAACATTCATGTAACAACAATCTCACAATGTAAAATGATGAACCATTTGAAAGTACACTTCCGGCTTCCAGGTCTATTTTTAAGGACTATTATAAACAATGATAAAAATGGGAATATTTACCTTGAACAGTTGAGTGTGTCACAGACGCCTGGGGGTCAGATCCTGCTCCAACGTGATACGTTATAAAAGATGTCCCATTCGTGTTTGAATATTAAAATAGTTTTGATAGAGTGTTTACAGGGCACTTACAGGGCCGTATCGTATCACCTTGGGGCAGGATCTGACCCCCAAGCGTCTGTGGAATGTGCTACATTTTTATAGACCAATTACAATCTATTGAAAAGTTTTATGCACATTTCATGAATGGCAAAATCCTGTTTAAAGTATGTTTTAGTGCAGACAAATGCTATTTTTGCAGCAAATACAAAAAACTTTCAAAACTTTATTTCAAATAAAGCAGTATGATCTCATGTCCTTCTAAGCACATGTCCTCCATTTTTGTTTGTAAGAAAGGTAGTGCAAGAAGACAATCACCATTTATAGCCTTATGAACTACAATTAAAATGATAACACATTTAAAATTTTGTTAACCTTTCTATTGTGTAACAGTGCAGTGTGCCTGTCTGTCATGTACACAACAATTAGATAAAAGATGTTATTTCTCAGGTACTACTTTTTTACACATGGCATGGAGGCCATGTTTTTTCAAGGTCAGATTTGATTCAAGTTTTTGCAAGTCTTTTGTATATGCTGCAGAAAAATAGCATTTGTCTGCACTAAAACACCAGGGGCAAGGATCAATGTTCAAAGTTAAACCAGGTAGCTCACATGGTATATAGCAGTTTAGACTTTGTGTATACATGTATTTATCCATGGTTATTGGAATGTATACATGGTAATAGGAAGGTCCCGGTCTGATTGAAACTTGTTAGATAAATATCTAAATTTTTTATCTTAAGCTGAACTTTTGTGTTTCATGGAATACAAATCTTTTTTGCTATCAGTAAGTAGTGGGTTTCCATAGGCCCTACATAGCGGATGATAAGGTGTATATAAATAAGCTATAAATAAGTCGCGTCTCTGTTCACTACTGTAAACCTTTTGCATTACCCACTACCAGTCACACAATGGATTTTGTCGTAAATAATTTTTAAACTGCATTTAAGTTACAAACTTGTTTTTTTCCTGCATGAAAGACAGAATAAGTATGTTCACCGCTTAAAAACAGTTTGGAACAACTAATGCTTTAAACTGATTTTTTAGCAATGTTTTAAAATTTAAAAAGACTTGGTGCATCACGAATGGTTTGGGAAAGTTCATACCATAATTTGATTTATTATGGAATCACAGATTAAGAATATATTTCTGTACGTCTTCTCACAGTTCAAAAGTTAGAGCTATACTACTCAAAATTTGCTAAGGATCACTTTCTACAGTGCGTTACTTTTGTGTATTTGTAATAATTGTGAAAATTGATTGAAAGGAATTAAATATAATTAGTACGGAGTTGATTTTTTATGAAAATAAAGGCAATTGAAGTGTTCCTTGACGTGTGCCTGTAGCGAAAAGAGTGTGCTGGACGAAAATCAACATTTAAGCGATCACATAGTGGAATAAAAAAAATCTTGCTAATCAGGAAATGGTTGGCATAGGGTGTTAAATACACAGTATGGTGTCCGCGGGCATTAATTACGGCCTGGCATTGCCTCTACATGCTGGTGATGAGCCTTTGGACTTTGTGGTGAGGAATCTGGGCCCATTCCTCTATGATTGCATGTCTTAGCTCCTGAATGTTGTTTGTTGGGCGTGGCATGAAGAAATGGCTTTCTACAGCATATCATAAACATGCTCAATTGGATTTAAATCTGGGGACCTTGCTGACCAATCCATGCGGACTACAGTTGCTTCCTCAAGATATCGATTTGTGATGTGGGCTCTGTATGCACGGGCTTTGTCATCCATAAGAATGAAATCATGACCGACTGTGCCAGCGTACGTGCGTATATGGACGTCCAAAATTGCATTGATATACCTTATTGCCGTCAATGTACCGTTTTCAATGATGTGTAGGTCCGTTGTCCCATGAGCGCTTATTCCCGCCAACACCATGACTGAACCCCCGCCAATACGGACGTGTTCTGCAACACATGCTGGAGATAAGCGTTCATTTGGACTTTTCCAAACCCTAGCTCGTCTGTCCGTCAAGCCCACACAAAACCTTGACTCATCAGTGAATAGGACCGGGGTCCAATCATTAACTGTCCATGTGACATGAGTCTGCGCCCATTGCAAACGCTCTTAAATATGGCGTTGTGTCAACGGAATGCGAATTGCTGGCCTCCGTGACCTCAGCCCATCATCATGCAACCTGTGTCTAACAGTTTGTGTGCTTACACGCACACCAGTTGCATTCTGGAAGTCGTTACGTAAGGTCGTAGCGTTCAAGAACCGTTGGCGCCTGGCCTGAAGGACAATGAATCGGTCTTGGGCTTGAGTCATTGAACATTCCAGACCTCCGGCGTGACCCTGCAAGACATTTCCAGTCATTTGGAATCGGTTCCACATCCTGGAGACAACGCTCTGGGATACCCCCAAGGACATGGGCAACGTGCCTTTGTGAACTCCTATTCATCTCATCTTCACTAAGACGACGTCTAACCTGTCGATTCGCCATAGTTTTACAATAAGTTTAACACAGTTTAACAATAAAACGAGAAAAGTATTGCTGCTTGTAGACTCTTAAGTGAAAGAACATGGCCATAAAACACCATATTTCCATGGGTATGCTTTTTCACGTGCTTATCGTTCAAGGTTTACATGACAAATCGATAACTTAAGTACACAATTATGAGGTCCCCGTACAGGTGTATCATTAGCGGAAATATGATTTTAATATGATGATAATATGACTGAAATATGCAACACAGACACTTGGGGTTATGTGCGTGGCTCTCCTTCTTGATCCGCACTTGTATATACCAAGTCTATTTTTATCTTGCAAACCGAACGTCAAAACATTTTTGCATATTATTACGACCTGGTCACATGTCTTGAACATAAAACTTGTTTTCCACTATTTTAAAAAAGTCCCTAAATATAATAATTTCATAAAGATAACAACGTACGCTTTCCTTTTGGAATGAGTTTCGGCACTGTTATGGCCTTTCATTTATGCCGAGAACCAAAATCCCCGCAGCGGTCAGTACAAAAAAACCAAATCAAGAAGACTGACGGAAAGGGCCGAGTAGTTGCAATTGAATTTCTTTTTCCCAGCGATTTTTCCGCTGTAATTTACGGGAAACATTCCAGTCGTCATGAATTCGTAAAGAAGCATGTGACACGGTTAGGAAAATGTAATTAAATGTGCAAAGCTTGGAAGAAAGGTACGATCGGATAATAACATGCATTTATTTATTAAAAGAATATACACTGTATGCATCGACTGATTTAAACCAGAAATAAACGGCATGCGATAACATAAATACTTATAAATATATGTAGGTCAGTTGTGTTTACATTTCGAAGCTTGGTATCTTCAGAAAATTGAAGCGTTGGTAAAAAATTGAATTTTTTTAAAACGTTATGAAATTCTATTCAAAGTTGTTCACTTGTTAGACACTTAACCGTCTCTTACTAATATAAGCAAAAATTTAAAACTAATTCTTGTAATAAACAATACTTTAAGTTTTTAATATTCAGGGGCAGAGAAGGGAGGGGTCCATGCTCCAAGTGTCTGTGATATGCAATGTCAAAAAGGTGATCCTTAGCAAATTTTGAGTAGTATATTTCTGAACTTTTTTTTATTTTTTTTCATTGACCAATGGTGGGTCTAATTCAGAAATATAGGTAGGTAAAAAAAACATGTTTTTTTCTTTCTTTTTTTTTTTTTTTTTTTTTTTCAATTTAACAAGTAAGGTACAAGGCATTGCTATCTATAGTCTGTTTTTAGACTTGGTTGTTTTGGATATTTATGAATTCGCTTTTTCTTCTAAAAGAGCACAATTTTCTAATGGTGTGTGCTTGCTATTTATATACGGTGGTTATGGTAAAAATACGAAGATTTTAAAAACTGAAAGTAAACATTCCATCCCATTATTCTCGTACTATTTTGACGGGAAATGAGTTTCAACAATTGTTTGATAGACATTATTGACCTTTATCGGGATAAAAAAAATCACCTTCTGTTAGTTCAATATGAAGTTTAGCATTAGACATTTTATAGCATTTCATTTTTGTGTCCGTTTCATAGCAATCACGCATCCGTTTCATAGCAGTCACGCACAAAACGTGAACGAGCATGCGGTTGTACGCACTGTATTGATACAAGTGTAAGAAGACTGGACTAGTGATCCATGTCTTTGCCGAGATTTTGCTACTTAAACAAATTTATAGGTTATAAATTATGTAATTGATAATATTATATAAGAAATATCCACACTAACAACATTTTATAAAAACAAGTAATTTGCGTTTATATAAATTTTAAAC